GCTACTGTTTGAAAAGTAAAATGGCATGAAGTGAATAAAAAATTCAAATTTTAAAACGTAAACGTTTTCTAGAGAAATATCAGTTAATGAGGTACTTGCTCTTGGAAAAACGTTAAATAAAAGAATATTCTTTATCCACTCAGGATGCTTAATTAATGTTTTGCTTATTTAATTTAAAATATATTCATAATAAATCCTTATGTGTTTACATAGGACTTTCTTTTATGAATAGATTCAACACAACGCACTTTAATTAAAAACTAAGTGTTTTTCGTTGTTTGAATACGTAAACTTTTGTTTTTCCTCGATAAACCTCATAAAGAAATTGACAAAGTTGTGAAACTTATTTCACGACTGCAGTCGAACAGCTCAACGTAAAAGTTTAATGTCTTTTTTCTTTTCACATCGTCAATTCCAAAAAACCATAATCCGATCAACATCTAATATTACTTCAGATCGATATGCACACTGAAGGAAATATGTTTTGTGCTCTGATTGGTTACATTTTACTAGACAGTCATATTTTTTATCGATTTATAATACCAAAAGTTCAATATCCCATGAATTTATTTTTTAATTTTTAAAACTCCATTTTCACATGACCGTCGTATGTCCCTCAAGCAAAATCCTAAAAAATAGACGTACGTTTATAATATACAGGTTTAAACAAAAAGATGTTTTTTACCATAAGTTTGACACTCCGTAGAGTGGCAAAACCGTATATTGTTCTAAATTAAGTTTTATTTATCAAGTCACATCTATTCTTATCAGTTTTGTTTTTGGTTCACCATGATATATTTATTTTTGTGGAAAATATGGATTTTTTTAAAAAACATTGCAATTTCCAATATTTTTCCTGTATGAAGAACTAAGGTTGCTATGGTCCATCCATAGCCTATGGAGAATGACAGTGACAGTTTAGTTGAATCATCCCATACTTGGACATGTCATATACAGCTTTCAAAAGCTATCAAATTGTTTTTTGTAAATTAATGTCTTAATTTTGAGGTGTCTTCTTACTTTTAAAAATGTCTCCGACTGATGTTGCCCTTTGTACTTTACTTCTTATGACGTTTAAAACACTTGCCACGTAATACTGTGACCGTCCATCCTGGATTAAATTAATAGCTCTCTCAACATCAGTCGGAGACATATCCATTTTATAAAGTAAGAAGACACCTCAAAATTTAAACATTAATTTGCAAAAAACAATTTGATAGCTTTTGAAAGCAGTGTATGACATCTCCAAGTATGGGATGATTCAACAAAACTGTCACTGTCATTCTCCATAGCCTATGTTCTTAGTTCTTCATACAGAAAAATATTGGAAATTGCAATGTTTTTTAAAAAAATCCATATTTTCCACAAAAATAAATATATCGAGGTGAACCAAAAACAAAACTGTTAAGAATAGATGTGACTTGATAATTAAAACTTAATTTAGAACAATATACGGTTTTGCCACTACAGAATGTCTTAAACTTATGGTAAAAAACATCTTTTTGTTTAAACCTGTATATTATAAACGTACGTGTATTTTTTGGTATTTTTTTAAAATGTGAGCGATTGTCCATTAATTTATCTACAATATTCTTTAATATTCGTTTAAATCCGACATCAAATAAAAAAGTTATTTGCGATTGAAATTCATCGAAAATTTGTGTGGATCGATTATTTTGCACGTGAGTGTATATAAATACACTTATATGTTATTTCACTCAGTACATACAATAACAAATACTGTTGGGATTTATTATCCCAAGCAAATTTGAGTTCTCCCCATCAGTCTCATTCAATTAAATTTTGCTGAATATTAGTTTTGTAAAATTAAATTTACCCTCGTGTGGACTTACTCGAGGGACATGCAATTAGCTTTTTTAATGTAATGGTCTTTATCAAACACATTATCTACGAGGGTTGTGTTTCCCTTTATGACGTCCCCTAAAGGTAAACAACTTGTTTTTAATAAAAAATATGATGAACAATACCTTTTTTCTATTTGGGGTGATATTGATTTTTTAATGATATTTTTACTACACTAATAAATATAACAACATTTGTCCAACAATTGCTTTTGTTACGGCAAAAAGATCATTTTTATAAAAATTATTTATCTATACAATCGCTGCTTTCAGTAATAGCATTTGCATTAATTATAAAGTAAATTTACGTTATGTTTATAAAAATAACACTCTTCTAGATGCAGAAACGCATTGATAAATATAGTTATTATTATTTGTCCAAAAAGCAGTTCTATACCGTTTAAAAAACGTTTTGTAGTATTAATGAAACCCAAATGGTATTATTCATGGAAATTTTGTAAATTTTACAAATCCCTTTTCGTTTAAAATAAAACTTTTTTTATAATATTTATAAAATTTAACAACAAATTCAGTGTTAATTCAATAAACTATTTTCATTGTAACAATGGTCACATTTTCAACCTACTGTTGGGTGTTGGGTACTTTTTTTAATTATTGCAAGGCATTAAAACAAATAATTTATTATAACAAAAAAATTAATTATATGATCTACAAATTAAAAAAAAATTGAACTCACTTTTTAATCAACAAGTCTGCTTCGTTTATAGAATAGACCTTACATATATCTTTTAGAAAACGTCGAAATTTTAATTTTCTTTCTTTTCTTTGATATTTTTATCATGCTAGATTTTACCACACTTTACTCGCACAAGTGAAATCAATAAGATTATAACACAGACTGTGGATTACAAAGTTATGTCCACCAAGGAGAGCGCTGGCCCTTTCCCCCTCTTTTTAAGGGAAATAACAAAAATTGTGTTATCATTGCAATACAATAGTAAATATTAAAAAAGTCTTTTTAGCAATAAAATATTTTCCAACTAAAGTAAAATTAATTTGAATTACAACGATAGTAAAAAAGACAAATATGTCATAGTAAAATAACCAAATTTTACTATAACAACTGCGCATTACTTTATGATTATAACAAAAACATTTTAATTTCGTCAAAGATTTAATATAAACATTTAAGTATTTCTTATTGCCATGACAATATGATAAAAACCATTACTTTGTTGGATGAACATTTTTTTTATAAAAGCTTAACATTGCTGCTTCATTATGGTAAATGATAATTTTATTAACAGTAAAAAAAGTTTATTCTGTAAATAAAAATAATCTCATTACCTACTTTGGCAAATCGTAGGTTTTTGTCCCACACTGTTCAAAATTTCATGACCATTTTAACACCAAATTAACACCATACATGGTCTATATCGATACAAACCAAAATTGTGTTAAATAAGGTTCGTTGGTCCGGTGTAAATTCAAATACTAAAATAGTGTAAATTTAACTTTCACACAGTATTAAAATAAATTTTACCTGGTGTAAATTGAACCCCTTTTCAGTGATAAATATAATGTGTTTTTGGTCAAATTAAATCATACTACACAGAAAAAAAGGAAACAGGAAGTTCCTTGACGTATTAAATGTATATTACCAGTGGTATTATTCCAGAAAATTGAACCTTTAACTAGCTAGAGATAATGTTTTTTGTACGTTCCACAGTGTTGCCAACCCTTTTGCAACAAATTTCCCTCGAAAATGTTTAAAAATTCCCTTTTTTCCCACGCTTCTTGAAATATGCTGTTACCAGTTTTTTAAAATATAAGAGATATTATTTTGCAAAAAAACAGCATTTTAAAAATTTAGCAACAGTATTTATTAGTAAACCTATAAAAAACAACGTGTATAAATACAAAAATATATGTAAAATAAAATTATAAAACAATTTGCCATATTGATAAAAAGGATATATCCTTATGCTTATATTTGTAAAATATGAAGGAAATCCATTAGCTTGTATTAATGATTATATGTTTATAAAAGCTAAAGGATTTCGTTCATATTTTGCAAGTATAAGCATATCATTTCTTTAAAAAAACCATAATTTTTATTATGGAAATCCAAATAAAGTTTTGTTACATTAAAAGTTATAGGTATATATTTTTTGTATGAAATACGAAAAAAAGTCATAAAATATAAAAAAATCCGAATTATTTGATTATAAAAAGTAGGAAAGGGTTAATTATAAATTTTCATTTTGAATTGATATAAATTTCCCTCATGGACGGCCTTTTTTAAAAATATTTCCCTTTTTCCCATTTGTCTCAATTTGAGGTAAAATTTCCCTCAAAATGGGAAATTTCCCACGAGTTGGCATCACTGACGTTCCATCAACTTAAAATACTTCAAGTATTGACAGCTGTTTCCACCTATTTAAGGTCTCTTTAGTATCGAACAACTTGTAGTGTCACACCAAAGCAAAGGACTACCTGAGCTTATATACTCTTCATGTAAGTCAACAGAGGCGAGATTTAAGAACATCACGTGATACACACCGCCTTTGCCGCGATCGGTACACACCTAAGACAGTCTTAGGTACACACTATGTAACCAGGAATGCACGGCAAATTGTTTTAATCGTTTTAACAGAGTGGTTTAGGTTGAAGTAACTCTTATTTTACAAACAAAATATTTAGTAAACTGAACCATACAGCGGGTTGGTTTCACTAAAGTTTTCTGGGTTAATTTAACCAATTTCAAAAAATAAAATAACTATCTGGTTTAGTACCGTCAAACTAATCTTTGTTTATATTAATCTTCCCACAGTTGATTTAAATAAATACTTATGGGTCAACTAAATTAATATTGTAGTTAAATGAACTATTCCTTTTTTTCTGTGTAGGTGCACTTCTAAAATATTTTTAGATAAACACCGTTTTGGTGTTTGCTGTATAAAACATTTTCAACCATAATTCATGGTGTTATATTAACACCACTTGGTGTTGGATTTTGACACCATTTTAAGATTACTTTTTACACCACAGATATTTTAAACAGTGCATTAAGACACTGAAAATTTAATAAAAAAGGTACCTTTTTTGGTGGTATTTTTCCAAGTGTATGAATTTTTCTATGCTTAAAACATCTCCAAAAACAAATAATTTTTTTACCTTGGAATGCAGCTTCGAACTGTATTTTGTTGAGATCGTCTTGCTCGTGTTCGGGTTCATTGGCGCTTACTGCAGCCACGCACACAATCACTAGGAGGGCCGCAAGGGGCCCCCTAAACACATCCATGGCTCCTAACTTAACAACAATCCGTCTCTGCACTGCCGCCGCACCATAACACGCTACACGCACGAAAAAACGCGCCGCATCACGCGATCAAATACGAAATGCGAAACTTTCGAATCACTCGGCATCTGTTGCATGCCACCTAGCCATCCAGACTCATGTCCCAGTGACGTATCGTTGGACGGACGCGTCTACTGCGCGCTGCTGTGGCGAGGACTCACTGGCCACATGCTCGTTCGCTCGTTCGCTATCTACCCTTAAAAATCGACCGCGGGGTGAAACTCTATATCCCCGCGTCTCTGGTTCAATACTCGCAGCAATCGAAGTGAGCGAGCGCCACCGGCGGGAGAAGCGCGCACCAGGGGGTGAGTGAACGCAGGAAGGGTGGCCCCACGCTCACATATTATTCATGAGGGTGTTACCGCGACATCTATTACGAAATGTACAGACCACCCCGGCAGGCCTCTTTAACAGGACGTATAACACTTTGCGGATGGGCGCCAAACTATTATAATACTATAGTAGGTTAATTAAAGCTGATAATTACATTACACTGGTCTCTCCCCATTTATGCATAACTCAAAAGCTTGAAAGCTCCCTTCTGGGCCTTGATTAAACTATTACACTGTTTAAAATATCTGTGGTGTAAAGAGTAATCTTAAAATGGTGTCAAAATCCAACACCAAGTGGTGTTAATATAACACCATGAATTATGGTTGAAAATGTTATATACAGCAAACACCAAAACGGTGTTTATCTAAAAATATTTTATTTAATTGGTTAAATTAACCCAGAAACCTTTAGTGAAACCAACCCGCTGTATGGTTCACTTTACTAAATATGTTGTTTGTAAAATAAGAGTTACTTCAACCTAAAGCACTCTGTTTAAACGATTAAAACAATTTGCCGTGCATTCCTGGTTGCATAGTGTGTACCGATCGCGGCAAAGGCGGTGTGGATCACGTGATGTTCTTAAATGTCGCCTCTGTTGACTTACATGAAGAATATATAAGCTCAGGTAGTCCTTTGCTTTGGTGTGACACTACAAGTTGTTCGATATTAAAAAGACCTTAAAAAGGTGGAACGCACTAAAAACATTATCTCTAGCGAGTTGAAGGTTCCATTTTCTGGAATAATACCACTGGTAATATACTAGTAATGCGTCAAGGAACTTGTTTCCTTTTTTTTCCTTTTTTCTGTGTAGTATGATTTAATTTGACCACAAACACATAATATTTAACACTGAAAAGGAGTTCAATTTACACCAGGTAAAATTTATTTTAATACAGTGTGAAATTTAAATTAACACCGGACCAACGAACCATATTTAACACCATTTTGGTTTGTATCGATATAGACCATGTATGGTGTTAATTTGGTGTTAAAATGGTCATGAAATTTTGAACAGTGTAAAAATAAGATTTGTTAGTTTGTAGTTTTTAGTTTTATTTTGTAAAATTTGAACATATTTTTGTGTAGAATTATTTTAACAAAGGAAAATATTTTACCGAAAGTTGTGCTAAAAAGTTTTTTCTCGTTTACTTCAAAATCTATTAATTTTTTGGAGAGTATTTGAAAATTGGGCAAATAAAACGCTTTTTATATATTTATGCACGATGACATTATAATATGACAATTATAACAAAAATTCTTTGACGTAAACGTCTTTTTATAGCCCGCGGGCGTTATTATGGCCCAGCGGGCTATAATGAAACGTCAAAAATTAAAAACAACAATGTTACACCATTTGATATATTCGAAGTAAGTTTTTTCGTATAAAGATTTTGATTTTACCGGCAGCAGGCCGCAATTTTTCGCCTTTTCAGCTGCTTCCTCAATTTCATTTATCTTTAAACTTTAAAACTGACTGATGTCAGTTGACATTATAATATGACAATTATAACAAAAATTCTTTGACGTAAACGTCTTTAAAAACAATAATATGTTAAAAATAATAATATATTAATCGTGCATAAAGTTTTATATGCATTGCTGGCATAACTGGTTTTTATGGTCCTACGACGCTTTTCTAGCCCTCGCGCTAACGCGCTCGGGCTCGAAATAGCGCCTCGGACCATAAAAACCTTATTATGCCCTTAATACATAAATAACTATTATGCACGATGACATTATAATATGACAATTATAACAAAAATTCTTTGACGTAAACGTCTTTTTATAGCCCGCGGGCGTTATTATGGCCCAGCGGGCTATAATGAAACGTCAAAAATTAAAAACAACAATGTTACACCATTTGATATATTCGAAGTAAGTTTTTTCGTATAAAGATTTTTCGCCTTTTCAGCTGCTTCCTCAATTTCATTTATCTTTAAACTTTAAAACTGACTGATGTCAGTTGACATTATAATATGACAAGTATAACAAAAATTCTTTGACGTAAACGTCTTTAAAAACAATAATATAGGTATTAAAAATAATAATATATTAATCGTGCATAAAGTTTTGTATGCATTGCTGGCATAACTGGTTTTTATGGTCCTACGACGCTTTTCTAGCCCTCGCGCTAACGCGCTCGGGCTCGAAATAGCGCCTCGGACCATAAAAACCTTATTATGCCCTTAATACATAAATAACTATTATCCAACACATGACAGTTATAACTGTTATTATTGATGACATTTTAGACAAGTAAACTATGAAATACTCACGTTCATATTTAAAGTAGTATTCTATTAACTTATTACTATTACAAGCAGAATTCACATTGATATTGAAATTAAAGAAAAACGCTAACGGATTATTCGAATTTGAAGTCATTGTAAAATTCGTTGGTTCATTGGAACCAGACGTCCCCTTATATCGGTACAGCTGCTGATAGTGCTGGAAGACGCCGATGCATTAGAACCTTGTATTTTTTCTGCAATTTGTATTTTGTTATGCACCGATTCTTCTAGGTATCCTTCTGCTACCGTCGAGGACTTCCATCCTCCGTGACGCTTCAAAGTAGTCATGTTAGCCCCTGCATTGGCCAAAAGAGTCGGCGAAGACCTTCTCAGGCAGTGACCGGTGTAGAGCGCTGGTTCCTCCAATTTCAAAACATTGCAATTCTTGAAGGTATCTTCGACAACGAATTTATTCCCACTCACTGGCTGGTACACCTCCCATTTTTGTAAAAAAAACAGAAAAGCGGCTAGAACCAGTATTCTTTGGTCTCAAAGACATGTATTTTTTACACAAATTGATCGGATGACTGGAAATCCTTCAAGTATGGTGATACTTCTCAATTTCTTGGTTTTAGTGTCTGGCAAAACTACGTGAAAATATTTCCCTTTGTCTTGAATATTTTCTATTTTCAAATTGACCAATTCATCGCATCTACAAGCACCGCTAATCCCCATTATCAAAGCCACTTTCATCAACAGGTACTCGTCGTCGGGAGCTTCGTTCAAAAACTTCTCTATTTCAGGTCGTTCTAATGTCTTGGACTTCTTTGGTTTGTATTCCTGTGATTTGTTTTTCAAAAAGCTCGTTACTTTGCAATATTTTGAAATGCTGATTTTTTTTTATAAAGGTGACGATGGGGCTAATTTTTTTTGCAAATGTAAAAAATAAGCCAATAGAACATTTTCATCGATAACTTTTATCTTCCGTGAATTCATCCAAGACTCAAACATTTTGAACTCCATGTCGTAAGCATCTCGGGACTTTTCTGGCAAAATTTGCATCGCTGCTTCTTCCGCTTCCGTAAGGATATCCTCAGGAACGTAATTTTCATCGGTTTCCTCCATTTTATATGCGTTTTTTTCTTAAAAAAAGTGTCAAAATTTATTTAAACATTTGCTAACAATGTATCATGCCCGTGGCAACCAAACAAACAACCTACTTTGACCAAAATGTAAAAAAGTCACTGTCAAGTCATTCTGACATTTATAGGGTACTGAGACGCAAGTAGCTTTGATTTGATCACAAAGCTTATTAATTATTATCTCATAAAAAAACGATTTCTTCCACTTGTTGGATAAAACATTGTATGCCACTCGTGTGTTATGTTGAATGGATTCTTTTGCCACAAGTGTATTATTTAACAAAAGACATTTTTAGTAACTTAAAATAATTTATTTACAAACAATTATTAAATAATCATATATTCATCTTATAAACTATTGTTAAAAAACAGAGAAGAAAATAAAAACAAATAAATTACCGGGTATTTGCAATTCTTGTCAATAACGAAATAAAAAAATATTTTATAATACTGTTTTCAAAATTTACAATATACTGAAAGTTTTACGTATTAAGAATCTTTTTAATTTTTCTTCCATCACTAAAATATATAAAAACCGAATCATATTAAATTTTTAGCAAATCTTTCAGTACTGAAGCCAAATTGTCGAAGCGGTTGAAGTAAAAAAAAAGACTATTAAAAACTAATTAAAAAAATCAGTCAGTTTATAAATACAAAGTACGGTTATTATTTGGTAATTCTCGGTAAATTAAGTAAACAAAAATCGCTGTATTTTTAACTTTAACTAACTGCTCCTCGTCACCGCTTTTCTAACAGTCTCCCATGTGTCCTCGATGGGAGCTAGAGCTGTAATAACGATAAGAGCTATCGTCAGGAGCAAAACTAAGAAAATGTACACTCCCAGGATTGCCCGTCTCGTTCTGGAATACTGAAAAACAAGGAAAACATAGACATACATTGGTGCCCTGATAGCACAGTTTATTCTAAGAATGTTTTTTAAACCTTCCAGTTGGAATATTCTTAGGATCATGCTATATTTCTTCTAAAGAACATGCTTAAAAGAAATATAGCATAATCCTAAGAATATTCTCACTGGCCTATAGGCAGGTTCTTAGAAGGTGCAAAGTTTAGTGGTAAAAATTAATCCACTCTAAACATATGCTTAGAATGTTAAGAAAGTAATTACTATAGAAAGTTCATTTAGGAAAATTCCTGGAACATTCTGTTAAGCATATTCAGTTCAGTTAGGTACCTATATAATAGTAAAATATACCATAATCTACGTATAAAGGTACCTATACTTAGTATTAAATACTAAGTAAAAAACACAACCCAAAATATTTTTTTATAGTTATTTGTCAAATTAAAACAATATTCCATAACAAAAATACTTTTACTATAGGTATCTAAATTATCCGGCTTTTACATAAAATCTTCTATCCAACTTAAATACAATGAAAAATGTTTTTTTATGAAGAACTATTTCGTTTTTTCTTTTATGAAGACTTATTTTATAAGAAAATATTTTGTTTTTTTATATTTTATTTTATGTTAAAAATAAATTTTTATTATAGTCACGGCCAAATCTATATGGGTGCACGTCATCAATGAGATATAATGACGTCAGCATTACCAACTTTGAATTGTAAAGTTACTGCCGTTAAATTTGCCTTTTTAAGGCGTAATTCTGATGTCTTATTAAAAAGAAATCATTCATTTGCGTATTGTTTACCAAGAACTGTAACAATTTCCTTGTTTTAAAACGTTTTTTCACGAAATTATCAAAATAAAACCATTCACTTAGTAATTTTTGTGTGTGCCAGTTGGTAATAGCTTAAGGCTGGCGCGCACCGTTCAATATTATTGATGGGTCGCTGTCATTTTATATTTGACGTATTTTTGTAATTGTGACATTTCGTCCTGAAGCATCGTTTGTTGCAAATTATTATAAATAATATTATACATTATGTTTATAAGATTCTATCCCTGGATTGTGCAAACAATGATATAAGGCTTGTTGGCAACTAGCCGTTATTAGATTTCGAAGACATTGCGCCCTTAATAATAAATTTGGGGAAATAATCAGACTTCAATTCTGACCTGGTTTGCTCTGATGACAAGGACGACTGGTAATTTATATATTTTGTGTTTCTGATAATTTAGAATTTTTGTTATGTGCATATGTAATAAAAATGTAATAAACTCCGTTTGTTTTCTCTTTAAACACATTTAATAAAAATTTGCCTGTAACAAACTCCTAATTAGTTAGTGCAGAAGATTATAACAAGGACGTTATAATTCCATCTTAATAACAGACCCCACCGCTATAAACAGTCAACAATACACGAGCGTTAGATTGTGTCTGGGCACGTATGAATAGACCTTAACGCTGACGTCATATGCCGTTGATGACGTGCACCCATACAGATTTGGCCGTGACTATAATATGTATACCGATTTTTTATTTCTGAATTAACATTTTAATCCTAACTATCTTCAACTTCAATCTAATCTGACTTATCCCACAAAATTTTCCAATTTTACTTTTTGTGAAATAATGTCATACAACTTATGGTTTAGAGGTCAAATTGTTTATTTAATATTTATAAATAAATATATATTAATATGTAGCAAAATTTTTTTAGGGGACGAAAAATACATTTCACTGTCATATTATGACAGTGAGGCGTATTTGTCGCCTCCTGAAGAATTTTACGAATGTAGAATCCAACATATTTGAACGTGGGTATCTGACATATTTGGAAATATTCTCAAAAGCTTCCTAGAAGCTCCATAAGAAACCTTCTAAGAACATTCCAAAAACGTATTCTTAAAATGTTCTTAGAATGCTTTTTAGGAAGGTTTTAAGACGCTTCTAAGAATCTAATTGCATCATTAAAAGGATATCTATTGAATGTTTTAAAAGTCCCTAAAAACATTCTTAGTAATAAGGGAAGGTTCTTAGAATATTCCATTATTCCGGGTCATATCTTCTTAGAAGATTCTTAGAATCAAATTTTGCTATCAGGGTAATGGTGATGGTGGATATTAAACTTACTTTTTCGTCCATTGGTGGTTCTATGTACGCGGGAGCTCTTCCAGAACCGTTAAGATCCTTCATTGGGAATGCGTTTATCCTCGTATCGGCTCTTTTATCCGACAGGCAACCCAACAACGATAAGGTTAGGTGGAAAACAACATGCACAACAACATAAGCCACCAAGATCCAGTCCATCCACAACGGTAGTTCAGCCTTTGTTAGTCTAATCGCGAAGAAAATGGTGACGACTAAAATAAACAAACGTACAAATGAACGAATCCGAATGGGGTAGTTAAATTTTTTCTGACCTATACTTTTTATGGTTTTATTCAAGGCGTTTTGAAATTTTAAACATTTCTGTGAAATCGGAATTTCAATTGAGTTTACCGTTTTCGAGATATTTACAAAAAAAATCTCCTAATTACGTCACTAGGCTATTGACAACGTTGCCAGCTTTTTCTATGGTTGCCAGTGTGTTTAGTTTAAGATTCTTACGATAGATGGCGCCACGTTATAATATTTTAGTTTTAAAACCACTTGATCTATAATTTTAGTTGAGAAGAAGAAGAAGAATTGATTTTTTGACGTTTCTTTTTTTCGGGTTATGTTTTTTTTTAATTTAGATTATTGAAAATCAATGTTATTGTTATGTTATTTGTAATTGATATTAGATAAGTGATTTATTAATAACGGACTCCAAAGCAGAGGAATCTTGTGGATTGGTTGGTTACATTGAACATTGGAGCTTTTAAACAAATAAAGTAAGTACCTATAATTATAATCATATTTTGTCGTAAATGCATTTCATTAGTATAATGCCTAGTTCTTTATATTCTTTTAGATATATCTTGGACTCTAAAATATCAAACAGTAATATGATACCTCGTAATAAGGAAGATAGGTACTTAATGAATTTGGTGACCATCTTTCACTCAACTGACAGTGACAGTATTTGTACATAACCTCTTCGGGTATTTTCTGACATAACCGAATGAAATCATTAACAAGACAACTTGACAACAGTGTAATTTTCAACCAATAGAAATCTTAGAATGTTGGTCAGATGGCGAGGTTTGTGACGTCATAAAAATTTATATTTTTTGTAAATATCTCGAAAACGGTAAACTCAATTGAAATTCCGATTTCGCAGAAATGTTTAATATTACAAAACGCCTTGAATAAAACCATAAAAAGTATAGGTCAGAAAAAGTTTAACTACCCCATTGACTTCAAAACTTACTGGCAATGATATGGGCGACATTTCCCGCAAACCAATGCAGCCAATTGAATATGGGTCTCTTCGAGGTTCCTGGATGGGGTCTGAAGTAGGCAGCAATGGGTTGGAAGAAGCATAGAATGGTTGTGGTGGTGCCGAGAATAGCATGGGGGTTATTTTCTGCTGACCAGGCCCTCAACTCCAAAAATATCAAAACGAAACCGCACATTGTCAACGCCCAAGTCAAAACCATGAACATCCTATGCCACTGGAACAATTACACAAAACTTTAAAATTAAAATTACATAAACTTCATGAAGAGTTTCTTCTTACAGCAAACCACAAATCCTTTCCACAGAGTGAGGTTCCCGTCCATGTTTGTCTGTAGTATCTAGCGAGTAGCATTCCAATGGAAGCCGTTCCGATCCACGCCAAAACCATGAAGGACCCATGGATTCTCACCAGTAATTTCGAAGCTGCAGCTAACGCTGACACGTCGGATAAGAATTGTTTCTCTCCGCTGGCCAAGACAGCGATTCCGTGGAACTTAACAGAAGTATCTAAAAATATTTTTGTAAAAAGTGTTTTTCGAATATTAAAGTTGTTTAATTTTTACCGGTTACTGTGTTTCCTGCGGCTACCAGAAGATTGTATTTGTCGTTTACCAAATCGAAGTTTCTTCCTCTAATATTCGTCACTGCTTCCCTTCTAACTTTGCAGTAGATGGTGTCATCTGATATACTACTATTCAACAGTTGAATTCCAAGTTCAGGCTAAAAAAAGAATGATAGAGTTACACAGAAAAAATCGCTTTGAATAACAGTGCTATAATTGATTGTTTTTTCATTTCTACAATAAAAGTTTATTCAATCAATCAATAGAATTAATGGCTCTTTAGATTTAAACCTAATGGAAATGTGTTCTTCCTTGAACATTCTAGAAATGATTGCATTCAAAGTTTATCTGATCAAGGTAAAAGTAACAATATTTAATTAAATATAACATTGATTTATATTAAAAGTTATAATGCTTCAACCAAAAATTAAAAACAAATGAAATAAGAATAGTATTTGTTTCTTTTAATGGAAACTACGGTAAAATAAGTTATTACTGTCTTAAAGTGAATACCAATGTTTTCACTGTCTTGAAAAATACTTGTCATTTGCCCAATTATCATTCCCATTTTTTCAATGCGGCCTATATTCAATTTAATGATTGCTAAAATTCAGACAAACGCGCCAGGGCATCCCCTGCCACACCACACATCGGCAACCTGCAATCGCGTACGTGCCTTTAGTTAAATGTGATAAACTGATTAATCGGTATTTCTGGTGACGCCGATTGATCTAAGTGTATGGGTTATCTCTGGATGGGGTAGTGTTTAGTTGTTTGTTATATTTGCTAATTTCTTGGGGGTTGTACTTCCTAATCCCGAATTTTCAAGGTAAGTTGCCATGCATTATCCAGTAATTTAATTACTCAATTATATCTAAATAATAACAAAAAGGTAAATGTTTACTCATATATACCATGGACACAGTTTATCTTGATATTCGATGTCATGCCTTAAAATAGCTATTTTGCTTAAATTATTTAATTATATAAAAACTTCTCATAGTCTTTTAGTACCATCATGATATCTTTGCAGAGCGTCCTGAAAGTATATATTGCTTTAGGACTTTCAGCAATCTTTAGGATTCGCCTCTAAATACATAAGGTGAAATTCCTATTTCGTTTTAGAATAACCATGTACCATGGCAGACAGATCCTGCACATCCAGTACAGTAACTGTTGCTAGTGATGGGTTCTTAGAGCCTAATGTCACCAACACTTCTAGTGGGTTCCTAATAGTTCCTACAGAATACAGAATAATTTCATTTTATGGATCGAAAAACCTGTGTACACAAGACTACCAGAAGCAGTTTCCAGAATTCATTGTATTTAAAGTTCATATTAATGTATTATACAATTAATATTTGCACAAGAATGTACATATTTAAAGGAAATAGAGCTTTGATTTATTTTATGTAGCCATTCATTAGAAACCATAACTTTATTTATGCCAATAATAGTTTTTCATTAAGATTCAAAATAAAAGTGGGACAATCATTCATTTGATCATAGATGTAATTCAGGTATTGCAAATACAGTACAGTCCGTTCAGGCTAAGTTAAGCGCTTTGGTGGGGATCATATGGCCGTTGATTAAATTAAATATCGAATCGTCGCGAGATTTTGGTAATAAGAAGATGATTTATCAGTGCCGCGGCTTGTCGTTTGTTCGTACAGAGCGGCTACCGAAATACATGTATTTAATTGTGCCTGAACATAGAGATGATGAACTGGGTGACATTCCTTAGACCGCTCAACTTAGCCTGAACGGACAGTACACCATTGGCTCAATGGTTAACCCATTCACAAGTTGAATTTTTCTTGAGAATGCATAAACCACTAAGCGTGTACATAATTAAGTTAATTCTGTTTAATTAAATGTGTGACCCCAAATAACAGTCTTAAGTCTGCTGTAACAGCGCATGAGAGATAACTTCTTTAGAAAGTAGAGTCGCAAATTGCAAGGCATTTTCACACAACTTACATCAGATAGCCTATTTGCGGCATACGGTTTAACAGTAGTCCAGGACATGAAGGCCTTAAGCCCATTACCGCTCTTGACGCATTCTATGACGGAATCGTCCCCCATTTTGACGTCATCTGATAACCCCACGCCGACCCACGCAGCTCCTGAGGTGGCCTTCAACTCGAAATCGTACTTATCACCCAGAACGGTCACTGCGACCACTGCCTTGCAGTTTTTGGAGTTGATGCAGTTGGTCGGCGCTCCGAAGCAGAGTTTGGTGACCGCGCATCCGTCGTAGAACTGGTCGAACTCCGCGGAGGACTCCTTGTCGGCTTGCGGGGTGAAGTAGGGGGGGGTGGTGGTTTTAGGGCGTCTGGTTGACGATAGAGGGGGCGCGTCGTCCGGGCTGCGTTTCGAGATTTCCACTTGCGGGGATTCCACACCCACCCAGAAGGTGTCGTAGCCCTGGGCTATGGTGGCACTAAAACGAAAAAGTTATTAGTTGTTTGGCAGCTTTTTTGCCAGAAGAGTTCTGATATTTGACGAGAATGGAGAGTGAATTGGAAATGAAGATTTCGTTACACGAGAGAGAAAAAAGATATAATGTAGAGAGAAGGAGAAGGAGAGGTATACACTAACACCAAATTAACACCATACATGGTCTATATCGATACAAACCAAAATAGTGTTAAATATTATGTGTTTGTGGTCAAATTAAATCATACTACACAGAAAAAACGAAAAAAAAGGAAACAGGAAGTTCCTTGACGCATTACTAGTATATTACCAGTGGTATACCACAGAAAATTGAACATTCAACTCGCTAGAGATAATGTTTTAGTGCGTTCCACTAACTTAAAATACTTCAAGTATTGACAGCTGTTTCCACCTATTTAAGGTCTGTTTAGTATCGAACAACTTGTAGTGTCACACCAAAGCAAAGGACTACCTGAGCTTATATATTCTTCATGTAAGTCAACAGAGGCGAGATTTAAGAACATCACGTGATCCACACCGCCTTTGCCGCGATCGGTACACACTATGCAACCGGGAATGCACGGCAAATTGTTTTAATCGTTTTAACAGAGTGCTTTAGGTTGAAGTAACTCTTATTTTACAAACAACATATTTAGTAAAGTGAACCTTACAGCGGGTTGGTTTCACTAAAGTTTTTTGGGTTAATTTAACCAATTTAAAAAAATAAAATAACTATCTGTTTTGTACCGTCAGACTAATCTTTGTTTATATTAACCTTCCCACAGTTGATAAAAATAAAAAAAATACAAAAATAAATACTTATGGCTCAACTAAATTAATATAGTTAAATAAACTATTCCTTTTTTTCTGTGTAGGTGCACTTCTGAAATATTTTTAGATGAACACCGTTTTGGTGTTTGCTGTATATAACATTTTCAACCATAATTCATGGTGTTATATTAACACCACTTGGTGTTGGATTTTGACACCATTTTAAGATTACTCTTTACACTACAGATATTTTAAACAGTGTACGAGTGAATACGATCGCCCCTCCCCAGATGCATTGATTCAGTTTTGTTTTGCATTTGCTAGTGTGTATTTCGAGCGTTTTAACATAAATTAATTTATTTTATTTAAAATTGTAACATATAATGTCCTACACATTGCAAGAGAAAATTGACATGATAATCTGGTCTTTAGTGGGTTAAATATCTGGATGGTTCTATTCCTTCAATTAGAACAATAACAAACGTTATTCAAAGGTTTAAAACAATTGTTCCCATTTCAAGGCGGAAAACGTAATTTTAAGGACACAAAGTATATAACTTGAAAAAATGATTTCTTGTTGGCGAATAATTTGGTTATAACTACACGCGCCTGTGTATTTTGTACACCATTTCGACAAAACTTGCTGCCGTTTGGTTTTAAACATTTACACAAAAAATTGCAAATTTTATTAAAAATGAAACCGTTAAAACCGCACATGTCTAAAGTAATTGGGTAGCAAGATACGATTTTTTATTATCGAACAAACGTGTTATTTTTAAGTCGCGTTTATTGGAAAATGTACATTTTCGTGAAATAAACGATATTCTAGCGCAAAATTACTTTAAAAAATAAAAATCTTTACCAAATGGTTTATTTCTACCAAAAATTATGAGTACGGTAGAGTAGCGAATATTCTAATGTTTCTATTATTTTATAATAATGCGGCTTATTTGTAATAACGCGGTGTAAGCCAAGGAACAAAAATTTCTCACATTCCCTAGTTTATAAGAAGTTTCACTTCTACCACATGTACGATGCTGCATATGATTTTTTTTATTTACAGAATAAACTTTTTTTACCCTTAATAAAATTCTCATTTACTATAATGAAGCAGCAATGTTGAGCTTTTATAAAAAAAATATTCATCCAACAAAGTAATAGTTGTTATCATATTGTCATGGCAATAAGAAATACTTTATGTTTATATTAAATCTTTGTCGAACTTAAAATGTTTTTGTTAAGTCTATATTTGTGTGTGAATTGCTCTTACATAGTAATGCGCAGTTGTTATAGTAAAATTTGTTCATTTTACTATGGCATATTAAATATGCCATATTTGTCTTTTTTAAATTACTATCGTTGTAATTTAAATTAATTTTATTTCAGTTAGAATATTTTTGTTAATAGCAATAACAAAAATATATTATTAATATAAAAAGACTTTTTCAAAATGTACCATTGTTTTCCAATGGTAACAACATTTTTGTTATTTCCCTTAAAAAGAGGGGGAAAGGGCCAGCGCTCTCCTTGGTGAACATAACTTTATAATCCACAGTCTGTGTTACAATCTTATTGATTTCACTTGTGCGAGTGAAGTGTGGTAAAATCCAATATGATAAAAATATCAAAGAGATCACTAAGAAAATTAAAATTTCGACGTTTTCTTAAAGAAATATTTAAGGTCTATTCTATAAAGGAAGCAGACTTGTTGTTTAAAAAGTGAGTTCATATTTTTTTTATTTCGTACATCAAAATCAAAAATGAGTAAATTTTTTTGTTATAATAAATAATTGTTTTAATGCCTTGCAATTATTTAAAAAAACTACCCAACACCCAACAGTAGTTTGAAAATGTGACCACTGTTACAATGAAAATAGTTTATTGAATTAACAATTAATTTGTTGTTAAATTTACATAAATTTTATTAATATTATAAAAAAAGTTTTATTTTAAACGAAAATTTACAAAATTTCTATGAATAATACCATTAGGGTTTCATTAATACTACAAAATTTGTTTGTAAACGGTATAGAACTGTTTTTTTTTGACAAATAATAATAACTATATTTATCAATGCGTTTCTGCATCTGGAAGAGTGTTATTTTTATAAACATAACGTAAATTTACTTTATAATTAATGCAAATGCTGAAAGCAGCGTTTGTAGATAAAAAAATGTTGGTGGAAAAAGTTTATATTTACCTATATCGTCAATCAAAGTATGTATAATATTTTGAGTACTTAATAAACTTTGTCCTACTAATTAACTAAAAGCGGATTTATTAATAAAAAAATTAAAATAAATGTACTTATGATTCCTTTTATCTCTGTTATCTCTTAATTATAATTCATAAATCTGTTTGACTAGGTAACGATAATTACAATGTATTAAAAGTAAATGTATTATACATAAACATCCAATAAAAACACATACATAACATAATAAGGCAATAAAAATATAATAGCAAAACCTTGACAATTATACAGCTAGTTTGTAAGTGTAGTGAGTACACCAATAAATTTATATGGATGACTGGCATTTTTTCTCTAATTGTATGAATAGTTTTCATGCTTTAGACGTGATTTATTTATTTTTGTATTAGTATACAGGGTTTTTAATTAAAACTAAACACCAAAGAATAAAATCTTGTAGTACTTTTTGAAATGTTTCAGGATTTTTAAATACAGGCTGTATAGAATCAAGTAAGTAAGGCTGGAGACAAGGATGAAAAATTATATTCTGATCAGAGAAAAAGGAACAAACTTTAATTGGGCGTGGTTTAAACCAAGCCATTCGTAATTACGAAACCATAGTTGCCAGGTTGTTTTAAATCAGAAGAGAACGATTATAATTATTTAATAAATAGTTCAATTTTATTTGTTTGAAACTTTAAAAATAACATTAAAATTAATAATATGTCAAAAATAATTTGATTTAGTTAATTTTCTTACTTTTAATATTAAAAAATAAGAAAAACAACCCTTTTAGGAAACAATAATAGCATATGGCAACAGCGCGGCATGCAGCCAGATACAAGGGCATGCAGTTTGATCTACTGTGTTTAGTAGCTCCGACGCTGTCGTAGGGAAATGTGTATAGTTTTTAAGAAATACATTTTCGCCATTAACTGGAATTTAATGGATGTTAAACAATACTTAGTTTTTATTTGCAGAAATGCATTAAAATAAATCAAACGAATTCGATAAAAATAAAACCTATAAATTCTCAAGCAAAAATAATTCTAAAATAACGAATTCCTACCACAGTGGGCGGGGTTTGGCACTTGTTTTATTTAAGTGTATCTATTCGTTTTAATACACACTGTATTTTTGAAAAATACGATTTTCTTATTTAAAAAACCTTACTCACTTGAAAATGACTGGTCCTTCGTACCCGTCTGGCGGATTCCACACAACATCGAGACTGGCCTTACTGTTTGGACTCTTGTGAGTCAAAGCGTCTCCAGTGTTGGAGCAGTCGATCGAGTGGCCGTCTTCCGTCGATGAAACGTCAAACTCCCCCAAAATGTCCCCCTCGGGGGTCCTGCCTTGCAGCATGAAGCCCTGGAACGGTATCCCCAGCCCTGACTGGATGGTGACTAGCACTGCGCCGTTTTGCCGTCTGGGAATGACGGTGTAGGGGCTGATCCCCGATTGTGGAGGGATTCCCCCACCGTGATTGGGCAGCATCGATTCGCATACCGAGGTGGGGGCCCCCTGGGGAAGGGCCCGCGTCGAAGCAAAAAATAGCAGTAAAATTAGAAGCATCTTTGATTCTGCAAAGAAGAAATTAAACTGTTCAGTAGAGGTTGTAACACAGTAGACTGGGCCAAAAAATCGAATATTTTGTAAAGTATTTCGAAAATATTGTTTGGTGTGACAAAAAAAATTATGGTAAAAGTTCGAGTCCATAATATTAATATTAAGAGGTCTATCATCGCAATTTTAGATTTTTTTTTCCTGAGCAAGTTTTTGTCTCAGAACTTTTTGAAGAAAATTGAATGCTCTATAAAAAATGTTTGATTGGAATTTCCCGTCAGATGAACCGTTTTCTTACAATCACGCCTTAAAAATTTATATAGTTTTACAATTTGATCTTTTAACTTTGGAATTTTGTAATTCATGTAAAAATCAGTACCCGGAAAAAAACCGATACATATTCTTATGGGAAATCAAATTCTCTACAAAAAAAGTCTTTTATCATTTTTGGCTAAATTCACTCCATAAAAAGTTATTCAAGGTTAAATTTGAAGTCAAAACGAAAGTTTAACCTTGAATAAATTTTGATTGAGCGAATTTAGCCAAAAATGCTAAGAGGCTTTTTTTTGTAAAGCATTTGATTTCCCAAAAGAATATTTATCGGTTTTTTATGGATACCTCTTAATATTAATATTATGGACTCAAACTTTCACAATATTTTTTTTTTGTCACCCCAAACCATATTTTCGATATACTTTTCAAAAAAAAAATAGTTGATTTTTTTGGCCCAGTCTATTACACAGTATAACATTTCTGGTAAAAACGAACACCAAAAGTGGTCTATATAGGTCCACACTAGAAATGGTATATCTAACCACATACAATTTGGTAAATTTTACCCTTTTTAATTGGTTAATAATCTACACGTACTATTCGTAGAAAAAACTCGTAATAGTGTAAAAATAATCAAATATAAGGGGTAAAAGCAACACGCAATATTGGTAAAAGAACTCCATTCAAGAGTAGAAAATGCTCAATTTGGTGTAATTTACTACACGTGTAGGTGTTACTTACAAACTATTAGATATGAATACAAATAGGCTTGGGCATAAAATTTAAAAAAATGATTAACACTACTTAGGTGTAAGTATTCTTGTACCCAAAAAGGGTTCATAATTTTTTTTAATTGAATGAAAAGTAGTAATATTTTAAGTCTTTTTCCAGTCTGTGCAAAACCATATTTAGCTTATATAGGTATACGAGGTGTGTTAAAAAAATAACGGGAATTGTTAAATTTCGCGGGTTCGGAGGGTCCGGTTGTCATAAAATTTTCTTTATTATGTTGGTATACATGCCCCCGAAGTATGATAAAAACTTTAGCTGTTTTCATCGTTTACTTTGTCTGTGGCAGCCGCTAAGGTTAGACGTGTTTTATGAGCTTCGCGATTTTCGTTCGTTAAAAGAAATGGATCAAAGAATTTGTATCCAATTTTGCTTAAAAAATGAAATAAATTCTGTGAAATGATAATAAAGGCCTATAGTGAGTCTGCTATAAGTAAAACAAGAGTTTACAAGTGGTATAAGAGTTGCCAAGATGGCCGTGAAGACGTTGAAGATGACGAACGCCCCGAACGCACAAGCAACAACCGATAAAAACATGGAAAAAGTGGAAGAAATGTCAGCAGTCGCTGATGATGTTGGTATATCGATTGGCTCATCCCATGAAATTTTTTCGAATGTTTTGGGTATGAAACGCGTGGCAGCAAAATTTGTTCCAAAATTGTTAAATTTTGAAAAAAAATTTTGGCCAAAAACAATACTGTAATGATGCCCCAGCCTCCATATTCGCCAGACATGCATCTGTCTAACTTTTAGCTAAAAATAAAGAGAACCTTAAAGGGCCGTCGTTTTGCAAGCATAGATGACATTAAAAGCGCATCGCTGAAAGAACTAAAGGCTATCCCAAAGATCGAGTTTTAGAAGTGTTTCGAGTATTGGAAGAAGAGCTGGCACATGTGCATAATATCCAATGGGGACTATTTTGAAGGCGACAACATTAATGTAGACGAATAAATAAATATTTGTTTCAAAAAACGAAAATTCCCGATATTTTCTGAACACACCTCTTATAAGTTCAATATGATTTTTCACTAGCTCAAAAACATGTTTTATCACAAACATAAGTTGCATCCACTGTCACATTGCACCACTTCACCAGACCACTGAATTTTATTTTAAAAACCATGGTCTTAAATTAAAATAGCATGCATAGGTATACTACCATCAACTGCACTCGGAATACTGATCGCGCCCTTGCCGTTAGCGAATTTAAATTAACACGAATGAATTTTACCACAATTTAAAATAAACACTTAATATTTTTGACCAATTTTAGGGTATAAATTAACACCAAATGATTTTACCACTCCATTTGGTAACTTTACACCGAAATATTTTACATTTTTAAGATGAGAATTAAAATAAAAAATTAGTCGATTTTACTTACATTGTCAAGAGATAACTGAATAACTTTTAGCAAGTAATCCATTGATATTGCTTATATTAAGTTTATCTATAATTCATAAAAATCTTATAACTTTAATTAAAAAAATTATTGCGTCTTTTGTTAATACATTTATTAATTATCACCTTATAATGATTCGGCAGAATTTTTTATAATTTGTCCTTTATTAAGATCACATTAAACATACAGGGTGTTTCACATTCTTAAAACATTGTTTAAAAGATTTCATGCCAATTCTTTAACATTTTTCAACCTGAGATAACCTGGGGCAAATTAGGCTAACTTGAAACGTTAATAACTTTCTTATTTTAAATGTAACACCCGGTATATTTTTACATAATCAAACAGTAAATTAAAAAATGGTTTAGAATTTTATATGGAATTTAAAAATGTTTATTTTTTATGTTTACTTCCTACCTATAATCCTTGAAACTTGTAACATAACCTCAACGATACAAAAACCTTCACGAAACTAAACTTTTAATTGGTTGGTATTGGTATACCGTGGTTAAAAAAATTAATGGATTGTTGTTTCAATCCTTCAGACTAAATAACAAACAAGGTCTGAGGTTTAGTGATTCAGGCCCAATGACAATGATAATTTTTTAAGGGAATTCCGTCGTTTGCTCGCGTGGTAAACGCCCGTGACTCATTTGGCTATCATTCTTATTATGACAGGGCGGATATAGAGGCTTGCGAATTTAAGTTTATTGCATATAAATCCGCTCTCTTATACTACATATTTGATGTAAAAAAGGTAATAATAATGCCAATGAGCATGATATAATAGTTGTGGTACATATCATGGCTTTAATAGAGAGGAAAATTGTTTCGACTTGTAAATACTTAAATTTAAATGAACAGTTATTCAAACCTTGTTTACAGGTGCTTCAAGGATTTTTAAGCTGTTATATTTTTTTCACAATTAACATTCTTTTATATTCTAATATACCCTACAAGGATATCAATTATATTAAATCAAATGTATTAAATGTATTTCTTCTTCTTCTAAAACGGTTTATTATCTCTTTTGAGAGTCAAAAAAACTCTTACTGACCAGTTACAAGTTTTAACAGCAACAGATAGAGTTAGAGATAGAGTTTTCAAATCTTGAAACATCCACTCAATCTATTGTACAAATAAAAAATACCCTAATTAAAGGTCAAATACCAGGACAAAACTAATCTTCCAAAATGTATTTAATAAATTATTTGTTTTTATTACATATTCAAGTACCTATTTGAATCCGACCTTCGTCACTTCAAGTTTTTAAGTGAAAAAACGCGTTTTAAAATGTTTAGATAAAACTAAATTAAATTTGTAAACAAAATGTAATAAATACAATTTGAAACATTTTCAGTTAAATTGTGACCTTTTTTCTTTATTGTTGGACAGCGAAAAATCGATGACATACTTAACTAAATTCTTGGTACACTTTGAGTAATACACATTTATTAGTTTCTTGTTATATAAAATAAAAGTAAAATCATTTTGCAACACTAAGAAAAATATATTTCAAAATACAATTAAGGGAGTAAATTTGAAAAAAATCATGTTAGCGTTTTTTTTTAATCTATGCATGGCACTGGATTTACCACCCTCAAAACGACCTTATACACAGAGAAAAAGGATTACTTGATTTAACAAAATGGGTTTATTTGAAATTAATTTATTTGCAACAAAACAAAATTATTAAAATTAAAATCTGTATTTTTCCTTTAACGAAACTGCTTTGTTTGAATATTTTTTTTAATTTCTTTGGATTTAGCATGTGATAAAAAGTCAATGCAAAGAAATATTTCTTTAAAAAAATATCAGTTCGCTAAAACAAAACTGTTTATTTACATCAATAAACAATTTCATTGGTACGCCATAAGTGTAAAACATTTTATATGAAACAAACATTTATTTTACTTTTAAATAGATCAAATTAAATCAAATAAATATTTATTTAAAGTAAAGATCACGTGAATAAAATAAACCAATCAAATGTAAGCTTCTTGTTCTAACCGCTTTCAGGAAGCTTGTTGAATTATCATTGCCATTTTGGTCTGGATAGTGTGGCTGTATTTTTTATTAAGTTTATTAATTTAATATAAAAATGGATGTGAATGTGTTCCTAAAATCATCAAATTTGGAGGATTTGCTGCCAGCGTTAACAGGTAAGTATAAACATATACATAGGTATGTATAAGTACATCTATATCTGACCATCATTAAATTTTTAATACATCAATTATTATGTCTGAATCCCGCCATTTTTTTTTACATTTTTTGCATCAAAAATTAAGTTAGTTGACAGTCAAATGTCTTACAATCGTTAAAATAAAGTGCCCTTCTTGTAAAACAGTACTAAATGTGAAAATTATTTTATTATCTCAATACATCTCAATACATAAGCATTAAATAGTTTTTCAACGCCAATATTTGCAAAGTGCCTAAATTAAATTCGTGTCTAAAATGGCGTTTATCAAACTTTATACATAATATACTATTGTTCAGGGTAGTTATGAAATAATATTTTTTTGTTTTAAATTAAATTGTCTTAAAATA